AGAAGAAGAAGAAGAAGAAGAAGAAAAAGAAGAAGAAGAAGAAGCGGTAGAACAGCTGCCTCGGAGACCTCCGGTTTCTAATTGTTTTTTCACGGTTTTCGCGCCTTTCTCACCGGGAGAACGTGGAAGCAGCAGCACCGGCAGAATCATGAGTGGACGCGGGGACGACGGCGGTCAGAGCTCGGGCTCCCAGGAGCCCGCAGGGGCCTCGGAACCACAGAAGAGGAGGCCGGGGAGACCGAGGAAGCCCCAGAAGGTAGGCGGCGGTAGAGACGGATTTAAAGGCACTTCATCACTTTGACGTCGGAGGATAAAGTTAAATGTGGTCGGAGGTCGAACTGTGGTCGGAGGTCGAACTTTTTGGAGACTTATTTTTGATTTCTCACATTTTTTTCATACCGTTGGTCGGTTGGTCGGATTATTGTTTTTAATTGTTTTTATATATATATTTATATAAATGTGTTTCACGGTCGTGTTTACGGTTTTTTTTTTACATGCACGGTTCAACCACAGCTGCACCGAGGAATGAACTCCGTGTCACTGTGTTTAATTGACTACAGTAAAGAAAAAGTACAGGAAGAGAGTGGCCACACACACACACACACACACACACACACACACACCTATTCATTTATTTGTATATGTCGCTGTTTTTCCTGATTTATTTTGTAAAGTTCGATGTTTCTTCTCATGATCAACTTTAACGACATAAAAAACATCGTTTTCACTGAAATATAAATCTCCACAAAACACGTGTAGAACACGTCGTCCACGCCATATATTTACCGACATACATTTCTGCAGTATATGCCGCGGCGACATTTGTGGAGTACATTTTAGTAATTTTAATAATATTTGTGCCGTTGCTTCATTCGTGCTAAAAAAAACGTTTTTTTTTAAATTAAGAAATGCCGTATTTTCCCAAAGTTGTGAATGAAAACTGTTTTATTTTAAACCAAGGCTATAGATTATTTCGAATGTGTTTTTAAGTTATTTTTTCTGACACATTAATCATTTTATTTAACTGTTTATTTAAAAACTGAACAGTCCAGATACTAATATAAATATATATATATTTATATATATGTATCAGACAATGTTTAATAATTTATTTTAAAAAAACAAAGTTCAAATAATGACCCAAATATGACATCATTTCCTGTTGTTGTGGCTAGTGGCGTAAGAAAAGCACGTGACAGTGCTCACAACGTGATGACGTAGGAAGAACGGTGAAAAACCTGAGGGGATCAATGAAGCACCTGTTGTCCGGACCAGAACGGTTGGTTCTGGACCGGGTCTCCGCAGACACACGTTCTAGGACACGTTCTGGGACACGTTCTGGGACACTTTCTGTCATCTGATATGAACGTTGTTTCTATATGTGAGAAGAGTTATTGTTTTGTCCGGTTTTGGTTGCACTTTCACCGATATTTAAAAATCGGTATGCTACGGTTAGCAGCTAGCAGCGAAGTTAGCTCAGGTTAGCTCAGGTTAGCGCCACTACGGTAGAAAATTACCCTCCAAAACAAAACAAAAATGGCCTGAAATATGTTGACAGTGCTGTATATAAAGTATTAATATGATAAAAAAAAGTTTGACAAAATCTTTCGAAAAATTATATTTTAACATATTTTAGGGTTAGAAATGACGAAAATAGTTACCCAATTTTTTTTACCCGAAAATTGTTACCCAAAAAATTAATAAATTTTTTTAAATTTAAAAATGATTTAATTCTTTAATGATATGTGACTACATTTTAACCCTATATATATATATATATATATATATATATACAGTATATATAAATTCCAATTTCCTGCCAAAGCTTTTGTTGTTTTTCTAAGATGTAAGGACAGGGATAATGGATGTGGCTCACACTATGGCTCTGTAAACACATCGACCATAGGTTCCCACAACATTCAGTGACGAGGGGAAGTTTCAAGGATTTGTTTCCTCACCTTGACACCCGTGTCCTCCTTCTGCTTGTAGGAGCCAAGCGGAGAGCCGGTCCCTAAGCGACCAAGGGGCCGTCCCAAAGGAAGTAAGAACAAGGGCCCGTCCAAGGCAGCCCAGAAGGTGAGCAAAGTCAGAGCGCGTGTGGAGCTTAAAAGAAATAATTTGTCTGTTCTTAACACAATATATTGTGGTTCTGAGGACAAAGAGCAAAAAAAAAAAGCTCAAAATATTGTTACAAATACTATGGAACATGAACTGTATGTAATGAGACACAGCTATGTTGTCTGGTTGAAATGAGTGAATTTGAAAGACGTGTTAAACTTATTCAGTTGACCTCAACACTTAT